GAAAAAAAAAAACATCCAAGACGAGAAAATGGTTTGGCCCGAGTGTAAATATGTGCGTCAAATGAGGTCAATTGCAGGGCGGACCTAGAGCATCCGCAGAACCCAGAAAGTAGTTTGCGCATGCGTATATTTCGCTTCATTATTACAACCAACTGCTATGCTATACTACTGTCCGACTATCAATTTGTATTTAATGGTGAATGTAGTCTGACGCCATGATCAATATTTATCAATTAAGTTTCAGTGGGGGTGGGGGGTTTTGGGAAAAAACTAAAAGAATTAAGCTTTTTTTATCCGAATCAAGTGTATAGTCTATTTAGCTCAGGTCTGCCGGTCCTTTCGATAGGACAGCGTTCTTCGGAGAGGTTAATTAAAGGCGTGAGCGAATTAAATTCTAACAAATAAAACGAGACGATAAAACGATCGTCTCAGTGGCGGCGGCACAGGGGGGCGAGGGGCAGTCTCTCCCTCCAAAAAAATTGGGGGGGGGGCGTCGCCCCTCCAAATCAAGCTGAAACAGATGGTGTCAGCAAATTTTGCCCCTCAAAATGCAGGAAATAGCGTTTTAGAGGGTCTATATTTCAAAATTGTTAAGGGGGCATGCCCCCGGAACCCCTGGTAAGGTGACGCTTTCGGCGCAAGGTTGGTGAGCATATTTTAATAAGTTTGAAACAAGACGTACTAAATCATATTTAAACATATTTCATATTGACACGAACACTACCTGTGGTTGTATTATAATTGAATTATTAACACATACATTTACATTGATTTGCAGAGACTACGTCACATTTGTAAAGATAATACATTTCTATGATACATATATTCATTGTCACATGTTTCAACAACTGATGAGAAAATAATGATTACATGTGTTTGGGTGTGCTAGGTTAATTATTCAAGATTATTAATTTTTGTACACATAATTTTACTATTGTGCAAATACTTTAATGGAGTGATTGCTATAATCAGCCACTACAACTTTGCCAAATGGTTTATCATTTGTGACACAGATACCATAGGGATTTCTCAACCCATCACCAGGACTATCAATACGACATACAAATTGACCATGGGAGTCATACTTCTGAACCCTATTATTAACGCAATCACTCACATACACATATCCATCTGTATCAGTAGCTACACTCCCAGGATACTGTAGTTGACCATCAGAATTTCCACAACTTCCAAACTTGAATAGAAATTCTCCTTCACCAGTCATTACTTGTATGCGGTGGTTGTTTTGATCTGCCACAATGACATTACCTTTATTATCAGTAGTAATTCCCCAAGGATATTTAAACTGACAGTCTTCACCACCCTCTGATCCGAATGAATTTATATATCTCCCATCTTGTTTGTATATTCTTATACAATGGGAATACTGGTCAACAACATACACCCTTTCATTCACAGGGCTAATGCTAATACCAACAGGATATGTCAGTTCCTCACTGCCAAAACATCTAATTAGTTCAAAATTGTTATTACATACAACTACTTGTTTGTTATCACTGTCTGTTATAAAATAATTACCATCCTGCGACTCTGCAGCAAAGTATGGACAGAATGGTTCATTAAAACCAGTGAGTTGAATCATTCGTTTATGTTTTCCATTCAAGGTCAGTAATTGAAGTCGAATATTTCCCCTGTCACAAACTATATAATACATTCCCCTCACTGGTTATCAGGACACTCTCAGGATAGTTAAACTGACTCGATCCTGACCCACTATAATTACCCATCAACCCCTTCTTAGGAATTACATTAATCTTAACAGGTGAACCCTGCACTGATTTGTTATCCATTAAAACTGTCAATTCATGTACCCCTTCTACATTAGCCTGATATGTCAGACTACAAGTCCCGTCTTCATTGTCAGTCATTTCCACTTCTTCTATCGTGTTGAATGGAGTCTTCATTTTGAATTGCGTGTTCAGTTCGAGTGCCATACTGTTAATCAAAGTACCGTCACTTGTCGCCAGTGTTACTGAAATATCCTCATCAATTTTACCATATTTAGGTACATCTTTCATCTCCAAAATGTACTTGTTGTAACGTATTTCCCCCACAGTTTTTGTCTCACAAAAGTCATCATAGCTTTGAAATTCCATGTAGTCGTGTTCAGCTGGATGCTGTTTGGTGTCTAGTTTCAGCAGTTCATCTATCTGTGACGTCATTCCCTTCTTAGCAGACATCAGTTGTGCAGCATTCCCATAATTCATTAGGTGTGTGGCAAAGTCACGTGCATGTTTCATATCATTTTCAGCAATTTCCAGTTCTTTCATTTGCGCATGCAAATTCTGTTTTCTCTCACTGAAAGTCTTGTTCATTCTATGCAGCAACTCTCGCCCGTTTTTACGAATTTTAGCCGTGATTTCCGCCACCACCCTCTCAATGTGAACATTTAGTTTATGTTCTTGTTCACTAAACCGATTCTCTAGCAGTTCTGTCATCTGCTGAACGTTTTCTTTGCTCTCCTTCGCTTCTTTTTCTTTCTCTGCTAGCATGTTTGTCACCTTGGTCAAATCCGTGGCATACTGGGAGGCAGCGTCATTCAGATATCGGTAATCATGTTCAGTTATTTTATGATTTAGTGCGGTACACTCCAAGCAAATTGGAACATCGCAGGTATCACAATAGAATTTCAGTTGGTTACCAGGGTGACTACCGCAGTAAACAGGTGGTTGAACAGCAGCAGTGTTAGCAGCCTTGTACGTTTGTAGTGACATCAGTTTATGGGACTTCGAAAACGGAAGTCGTTTATGGGTCGATATACAAATGTCACACAGTCCTACTGCACAATCAATACAATGGGTGGTCATCGGATCTCGCTGACATCCTTCACATTTTTGTACTTCGTTTGTCTTTTTGTCTCGTTTTCCAAGTAAGACGACCAACTCGTTTAAAAAGACGTTCGACTGCACACTGCTGGCTCCTTCTGGGAGGTCATGAACTCGTCTACACACTGGGCAGGGTATATTCTTACCACACGATTTCTGCACCAGTTTGTGGATACACTGCTCACAGAAACTGTGCAGACACGGTAGAATCTTGGCATTACGGTATCTCTCAGAACACACCGTACATACAAGAAAGTTTTCATCGATTTCTTCAAGTATTTTCGATTCAGCCTTAGCCATGGTGAGACGTTGTACCAGCCGAAATCTTTGGTTCCAGCAGCGTATATGAACTCGTTCCGCCTGATAATCACGTGTTATAAATACCTGGATAAGGTCCAGTAGTTGTATACAATGATTGAAAGGAACACATGACCTTGTGAACACGTTTCAAGTTAGAATTCGACTGGCATAGTCGTGGCAATTTTATTGTTTTGTATGACAATTTCTCAAAGAACAAGTTTGTGGTAATTTCGAGACGGACCACGATTTAAGAAAGAATTACCATAGCATGGCCACTCAAGATTAGAATGAGAGTTGCACGTTGTTTTCTGAATTCTGGTTTTCATTTTGTATTTATTTCAGCCGCAAATATGCTGTATTTGAATATTAAATATTTACATATAGTCGAATGAACAGTACAGTATGTAGTGTAGCAATGTAATTTAGTTTGTACTTTTTTTTCTGTGCATATTTTTACTAGACTGGCAAAGTCGAATTCTTTTTTGTTTTACAAAAAAAATTATTTCAATTTAGCCTTTTTAACGTGATCGCAAAAACTAGCGTGACTGCGAAAGAAATCCCGACTGGACGCATCTGCAGGCGACCCCCTGCGTTGGAGTGAAAACCGGAGCGGATTCACTCCGGTGATTATGCTAATTAAAATATGTTGACTAGCATTGACAACGAATCAAAGTGCAGCTATATACGTCATCTCTTATCTATGTTAATGAACGTGACCTTTCACTTCTGAGGTCCCGGCGATTTTGAAAAAACTACTTATATATATTGGACATTTAAATCGACTTGTTTTCTGTAAAAATGGATGAAAGTATCGCCGTTGCACTTATTGTATTGTATTGACTATGTAAAGGTATTTCATATGAGATTTATGTGTAACTGAAATGTATTTTTTAAGAGACTTGAATGACTCAATAAAAAAATATCTTAAATATAAAAAAAAAAAAAAAAACAATTGAAGTTTATTCTGAACTGTCTCCATCCGGACTTTACAATTGTAAGTATTTCTCAAGTTATACATGACATTATTCACAGCAGTGGATATGATGTCATACTTTACCCATAATTCTTTGCTAGAGAATGAACATGAAGGCCTACGTAATATTGACGAGAAGTTGAAAATCTAGTGAATGGAAACAGATATAAAAAAAACTGTAAATTTGCGGCGTTCTTTCATCTGGGAGCATTATACAGAAAAAAAGTATTCCATTCTGACTAGGTTTACAACAAAATCTTACGTCATACATTTATGAACAAAATCTTTCCAATTATTCATATTTGTGTCAGAAAAGGGTTACTTTACTCGTCACCGCTTTTCTCTAAAATCTCGCTGTTTTCTTCAAGGTACGCAATGACATTCTTGTTATTGGAGAACTTGGAAAGGCGATATTCTCTTGCGAGAGAAATATAAAACATGGCGTTAGACCCGTCTATCGTCTGCCTCATATATTTACAACATAACAGTTGTAACCGTTGCATGCACATGTAGTCTGCTAGTAGAACGATTTCTTCCACGTTGCCATGGTGAAGTCGAGCGCCACCGTTGTATGCATATGTTAGTATAGTTCCAGCCTGAGATTCACTCAGAAACGGCAGACGAACATACAAGTCACGTGATTCTGACATAGCCCCATGTCGAAACATCCCACGGAAGTAAGGAATACAAGCGGCGAGCAAACTACGATGAGCGTAAAACCGAACATTTTCAACGACTATGACCACATCACATGTTTCCCTTGTTTTCCGCTCTTCTCGAACATCGATGAGCCAGGCTGCCGCAAACTTGAATTCTCTGAGATGCTGTGATCCACAGTGATAAAAGTTCTTAAGCAAGGGAATCTCAAGATAGTCGGCTGCATCTCGGATAAGTTCGGCGTCGCTCGGAGTTCCCACAAACTGTCCGGTGTAAATCAGTCGTAATAGTTGATCAAAAGTTTTACCGCTTACGCTTTCACCCGGAACATTCAGAGCTACATACCTCGCTTGATGTGCGCGTGCTTAGTTGTTTTTCAAGGTAAGAACTGAAGAAACGAAGCACGATACCATGGGCAAAAAATTTACGTTCGCAAAGTTCGATCACATCACAGAGAGAATGTCCTGTAAAAGTAGTAGTTTGTTTGTACAGAATGTTCAGCAGGCGTGTTGCGTACCCAGGCTCAAAGCAGAGCTCTCCTCTGGTGTCAATACTACAGCTAGTGTCTAGTACTGGAGTCGGCTTCATTATGTAGTGTATTGAAAAGGAGTCATTTTTCTGTTCCGTGAAAACGTCATAGTCATCTAACTGAACGCAATCCATCGTCACTGGCACGATAACAACCAAGTTCAACTTTTGAACAAAATGCCCGAACCGCTTCAGATGGTCGGCTATCACTCGTACCTTTCACGAATGTATAGCGTGTCAGTTTCTAAATTTACTTTCACGTAATATTTGCTGAGTCAGGTCATTCTGGATCAACACCTATAGTCATGATTTGTCGTTCATTCCTTTACAAATTGGTATGCGTCATAATGCGATATTAGTCGTGTGACGAGGTAGCGCCCGCATTGCGCCATCGCCCGACCGATTTGCTTTAACTTGCAAACCAACCATCGGTGAGGGCGTCGTTACCATTGTCAAATGACTTATAAGTAAATTAGTTACTGTCATAGTCAGCAATATACACTATAACAACATGAATATTACACAGTAAAAAACGTTCCAGCCGGTTTGATAATGTTGTGTTGAGTACTAAGATGTTTGTAGAGATGCATATTTATTTTCGAATAACGTAACGTGAAAAATACAAATATGCATCTGGCATTCGCTGGGTTTGTTCCAACGAACTTTATAAGGTTTAAGGTACAACACGAGTAAAAATGTTGTAAATTTCCTCATATTTGATATATCATGTTACAAGAAGGATATGAAAGGCGGCGGTCGTCCTGCCGCGCATGCATAGCATTTGTTTTGATAAACATTGATTTTCTCACAATACTTCTAATGAAATCATGAGTACGAGATTTGACCTTGCCACCGTTGACTCCTTCGATTCTTTCCAATCAAATAAAAAATCTAATTAAAGCTTGGCAACGAAATAATTGAGAGCATCAAACGTCTCAAGAATACCAAATGACTGGTCAAATGCAATCATTATACCTGTTTTAAAATGGGGTCGATCCAGGGTACTATAGGACAATTTCACTACTTGACATTTTTGGGAAAAATTTTACGTCAATTCTTAATGTACGTTTAACTTTTTGGGCAGTGCTTTTGGGAAAAACAAATGAAGAACAGGCTGGTTTTCGTCATTGGTACTCGACATATTATATAACCAAGAAATTATACTGCGCCTTCGTGGATTTCTCCAAAGCATTTGATAATATAGATATACAACGTCTTTGGTATGTCCCGTCTACTTAAAGGGGCTAAATGGAAAGATGTTTAAGTTATTACATAATATCTATGCAAATGTAAAATCGT